GGCCAGATCGCCTGGCTGAGGCCGTTCAACGTAATCGTCGCCAACTCGGCGCCCACGTCTACGTGGTGCACGGGGGCGGCCATTTCCACATTGGCCTCCGCCCCGATGCGAGCGCGCAGACCAGGGGGGCTCGCCGGGCGCGCTCGCGTACGCTACCTGCTTACCCGCAGTTGTGGCGCGCTCCAGCGCGCGGCGGAGCACGCCTTCCACGCCCGCCGGCAGGCCCTCCGAGCCTGACAGCTCTTCTAGCCGAATGTTCGCCAGCTGCGCCGGCGTCAGCAGCTTATTAGCGCCTAGGCAGTCAATCGCAGCCTTGTATTCGATGTCCGACCATTCTGCCCCGAACACGGGGTCTTGGCGCAGAAAGCTCAGCAGCGGTCCGTCCGCCACCACGAACAAGGCAGCCAGAAAACACCAGCGTCGCACTGCTCGCACACGCGGGAATCACGCGGCGGGCCGACTGCAACGCAGCGCACTCAACACGCGCACAGAAAGACGGCGACGCCGGTAGCAACACGAGCGAAGTGCCTGCAGATACCTGGCCCGCCGCTTCGCAGACGCTAAACGAACGCGCGCACCCCGAACGCGGGGGGGGAACGGCGGCGCCGGGAACGCAACGCGAGATGCCTGCGGAAACCTGGTCCGCTCATGGCCGTGAGCGCGGGTCACGCGTCTTACCGAGCGGGCAGGCGCTGGCCAGCAGGTCGATCCTCGCGCTTCGTGCGCACGGCCCAAGCGGCACCGTGGCCGTCAGCTCCATCGAGGGGCTGCCTGAGGGCCCTGCGGCAGATGTGCGCCTCCGTGGCGACGATCTGCTGCGATCGCGCCGGGGGGCTGGATGCCCCCGCCGCCCGCACACGCGAGTAAGAACACAATAAAGGGCCAATGCGACACGTCTCGCGACATGAGGCGGGCTGCGTTGACGGCACCTCGTCGTCAGACGACATCGCTACACGGCGCACTTAGCAGCCCGCACAGCGACCCTCATGCGGCCCCCAGTTGCGGGAGGGAGCGCGCAAATCCATACTGGGGCGACACGCACGGCACGAGCGCGCGCGTTTGTTAAAAGCGCTGTGGTCGCGCGCGCCGCCCCAGGCGCCCGCGACCCGCGCTGGCGGGCGCACTCGCAGTTTTACCCGGCGGAAGTGCGCTTCATCGCCGCTATTTGGATTGTCCATTAGACGGTTGCGCATCACGGGCGCAGAGACGATCTGGGGCTCAGCGTAGCCCATTATGACATGGCAGACGTCGCGCGGCAAACGCGGTGCGCATTGGGCCAGGGCGGAGCGCAGTTCAGCCCACCCCTGCTCCAGCCTTACTAACCGAGGGCCGACTGCTCCGAGTCGGACTGGCGACCAGCAGCTCTCGTTGGCAGGTGGTGCTGGCATTACTAGGGGCGGGCCCCGCGGCGCTCGCCCCTGCAGCCTGGGGCCCGCCCCCTAAACCAGCAGGTAGCGAAGCCGCTGGCGCGCCTGCGACAACACTGTGTCTGCGTACGCGACCCGCGCGCGGGATGCAATGCGCACCAAGGAGCCCCTTTCTGTTTTCGCCTCGAACGGCACGAGCGCCGCCTGCGCAGCCTGCTCCGCCATCGCAAGCAAGCAGAAGCCGCTGACTTCACCCGACATTCGGAGCCGCTGCGAACCTGCGGCAGCCAAAGCAAAAACCGTCGACCGACGGCGGGAGTTCGCTGCCTTTGCGCTGCGAGTCTGGCGCGCTGCGAGTCTCGCGCTCGACTGTTCACTGGGAATGCGAAAGAAACGTTTGCAACGATTGGCCACTATGGGCCTCCCAGCGAGACGCGCGGGTCTGCTGACAGTCAGGCAAGCCGCAACGGCCGCCCGATCGAAGATTGGCCGCTCTAGGGCCGCCAGACATGCGGGCTGGCATCGGCTGCCCTGCTACTGAATGGCCACTCTGGGCCGCCAGACGAGGGTCGCTCTGGACCCGCGAGGGGGAACCCTATGGGTACGTTGGTCACACTGGGCCGACGTAAGAGGCCACTCTGGGCTTGATAGCAACGCCGTGACCCCTCCGGGCCGTGAAACAGACTCCGCCAGGGTGGAGAAACAACGCGTTGGTCACCAAGGACCAGCGGCGCTGGCCCGAGGTGAACCAATGGACACAGGACCCGCAGGGAAAAGCCCTAGACAACGACACCCACGAGGGGCCACACTGGGCCAGAAAAGAAGCGCGACCGCGGTCGCGTCCGACGCACTCTGGCGAGCGGACGCCCCGCGCGTCGCCCCCGCCCCCAGGGTTGGTCCAGAGCCGCACACTGGCAGACAGAGGACCACACCCCGGCCAGCCGCCCCACCTTCAGAGTGCACACTAGGCAGGTGGGGCGCTGCAGACATGACCGGGCGCTTGATATCCCGCCCTGCGGCCAGGCGGCAAAGAGGAGACATCGCGACCGTGCGCGGAGGAGCGGAGGGAGGAAGGGCCCCGACGCACGGCCGCGCGGCACGCCAGCATGCCCGCGCGGGGCCTGGCCCGCCCGACGTAGTGGCGGCGCGTGGCGGGTGGACATGCGGGCGCCCGCCATCGCGCGGTGCGCCGACGGCGGGACACTCCCGCCTGGGGGCGTCGACTCATGACTTGCAATGACAAGATATTACTGCCCCATCATCATCATCATCCTCACTCAACAGCATCCTCGTCATCATCCTCACCCTCATCTCCTCAGTATCGACATCGCCACATTATCATCATGATTAGTATTATGCATAAGCAGCATTATCAGCATCCTCATCATGACCATCAACATCAGCATCATCATCACCACCATCATCATCATCATCATCGTCATCATCATCATCATCACCATCATCATCATTATCAGCAGCATCAGCAGCATTACCATCGTCATCATGCTAACCCTCATTATCATCATCAGTACCATCATCATCAGCATCATCATGACTCATCATCACCATCAGAATCATCAACAGCAGCAACATCAGCAACATCATCACCACCACCATCAGCATCATCACCATCAGCATAAGCATCATCATCATCAAAATCATCATCAGCACCATCACCACCATCATAACCCCATGCCCATGATAATAATGTTACCCCCCCCCCCCTCCCTTAAGTCGTTAGAGTTTTTTATCGTCGACCAATAAGAGTTTGGTCGGGGGCGCGGGGCGCGGGGGGGCAAACTTCATTATCACCTCGGAACGTTATGTTGAGATAGCAAGATCAAGTTATGTTGAAATAGCAACATCAAGCGAAGCGATCACACTTTTTTCAGGATGTCTCAAGCGAAACCAAGAATTTTGGGAGGCAGGCTCAAACGAAACGAGCAATGTTTCAAGGATGTCTCAAGCGAAACCAGTAATTCTGTGAGGATGTCTCAAGCGATTCGAGAAGCTTCTCGAGGATGTCTCAAGCGAAACAAGCATATACGCGAGGATGTCTCGAGCGATTCGAGAAGCTTGTCGAGGATGTCAAGCGAAACAAGCATATATTCGAGGATGTCTCAAGCGAAACAAGCATATACTGAAGGATGTCTCAAGCGAAACGGTACGTTTCGTAAGGGTGCCTCAAGCGAAAACAACAATTCTGTGAGGATGTCTCAAGCGAAACCAAGAATTTTGAGAGGCAGGCTCAAACGAAACGAGCAATGTTTTAAAGGATGCCTCAAGCGAAACCAGCAATTCTGCGAGGATGTCTCAAGCGATTCGAGAAGCTTGTCGAGGATGTCTCCAGCGAGACACGCATATACTCGAGGATGTATCAAGCGATTCGAGAAGCTTGTCGAGGATGTCTCAAGCGAAACAAGCATATACTCGAGGATGTCTCAAGCAAAACAAGCATATACTGAAGGATGTCTCAAGCGAAACGATACGTTTCTTAAGGATGTCCCAAGCGAAAACAGCAATTATGTGAGGATGTGTCAGGCGATACCAAGAATTCTGGGAGGCAGACTCAAACGAAACGAGCAATGTTTCGAGGATGTCTCAAGCGAAACCAGCAATTCTGTGAGGATGTCTCAAGCGATTCGAGAAGCTTGTCGAGGATGTCTCAAGCGAAACAAGCATATACCCGAGGATGTCTCAAGCGAAACAAGCATATACTGAAAGATGTCCCAAACGAAAACAGAAATTCTGTGAGGATGTGTCAAGCGATACCAACAATTTTGGGAGGCAGACTCAAACGAAACGGGCAATGTTTCGAGGATGTCTCAAGCGAAACCAACAATTCTGCGAGGATGTCTCAAGCGATTCGAGAAGCTGGTCGAGGATGTCTCAAGCGAGACAAGCATATGCTCGAGGATGTCTCAAGCGAAACAAGCATATACTGAAGGATGTCTCAAGCGAAACGATGCGTTTCTTAAGGATGTCCCAAGCGAAAACAGCAATTCTGTGAGGATGTGTCAAGCGATACCAAGAATTCTGGGAGGCAGACTCAAACGAAACGAGCAATGTTTCGAGGATGTCTCAAGCGAAACCAGCAATTCTGTGAGGATGTTTCAAGCGATTCGAGAAGCTTGTCGAGTATGTCTCAAGCGAAACAAGCATATACCCGAGGACGCCTCGAGCGATCCGAGAAGCTCGTCGAGAATGTCTCAAGCGAAACAAGCATATACCCGAGGATGTCTCAAGCGAAACAAGCATATACTGAAGGATGTCTCAAGCGAAACGATACGTTTCTTAAGGGTGTCTCAAGCGAAAACAGCAATCGCTCGAGGATGTCTCAAGCGAATTGAGAGATTATGTGAGGATGTCTCAAGCGAAACGAGCGATTCGTCGAGGATGTCTCAAGCGAAACAAGTACACGAGGATTCTCAAGCAAAGCGGGAGATTTGTCGAGGATGTCTGATGCGAAACGAGAGATTTGCTCGAGGATGTCTCGAGCGGAATCGGCACGTTTCCGAGGATGTCTCCACGAAGAAAACAATTCTCCTGCCCCCGCCCGCGACCGTTCTGGCTCGAGCGTTTCGAGCTTTTCGAGTTCTCGAGCCTTCCGAGCTTTCGAGCTTCAGCTTCGCCATGGCGGTGCCCAGGCCCTCGAGCCCGCAGATGACCGAGGACAGCCAAGTCATCGCCCTGCTCGAGCAGAACAACAAGCTCCTCCAAGGAGTTACCAAGCTCCTCGAGGAGCAGAGCAAGCTTGCCGACTTGCAGAACCAGAGCCTCGCGCACATCGCCGAGAAGGCGGGGTGCGCCGAGATGCGCCAATGCCAAGCCAGCGGCGAGGCAACCGACGCTTCGAGAATGTCGGGGATGCGGTGTCGAGGGAGCTCCGCACTGCACCACAAGAATATTCGAGGCGCCGCGTTGGCGAGCGCCCTCAAGAATGGAAGCCTCGAGGGGACCAAGTACGAGGGCATCTTCCGAGGCAAGGATCGGCGCCGAAGCGAGCTCTTCTGCGCGATCTTCTTCAAGACGCACATCGAGCGGAGCGGCGAGACGTTCAACGCCTTCGACGACGCAGACAAGAGCGTCGAGACGTTGTTCAAGATTTTGCCGAGCTCCCGAGCGGAGTTGCTCGACGAGGCCAAGACGCACGACGCCATGGTCGGCGAGCAGGTCGAGATGATGCCCAAGGGGCCCGCGACCGACATTGCCAGGCGAGTGCTCGGCGAGACGCCCGCAGATCTGCAAGCGCTGTACGAGATCATGCCCCCAGTGAACAAGCAGTACAAGCCCATCTTGCCGAGCGACAGCGACGAGCCAGACGAAGACGCGCGCGCGTTCGACACGGTCGCCTCCGTGCCCGAGGCGGCCAAGCCATACTTCGAGCAGTTCCAGGCAAACAGCATCGAGAACTACGAGAACGAGCGCATCCTCGTGACCGAGGGGATCGTCGCCTGATGCTGGCAAATCGCCGAGTTTGCCAAGAAGCGCCACGAGCTCGATCAACACGGGTGCTTCATCAGGCGCGCCAAGATGGACGAGGACACCAAGTACCAGAAGAAGCTCGAGCACGAGAAGAATTTCTTCGACATCTACGCCCAGAAGAAGTTCCCGAGCTACTACAAGAGCATCGAGGAGCACAAGGAGATGTGCGACGAGAAGAAGCGCAAGCAGGAGCTCAAGACGTCCGAGGCGCAGGCTTGAGCCGAGCCAGGCTCAGCACGAGGCCTGATCGAGGCCTGAACGAGGAGCGAGCGGCGATGAGCGCCCAGCTCCCTCGAGTTTTTTTTCGAGAGGCGTTATCCGAGAGGCTTCGTCAGCCCCCTCTCGAGAGTAAAATCGAGCGTAACTCCATCGAGGCTTGATCCTCGATCGATCTTCGGATCGAGGCCCCGAGAGCCTCGGGCCATCGTTGATCCGAGATCACAAGATCTCGGATCCCTGGCCCGAGAACTCTGGACTCTCGATCGGAGGATCGATCCAGGATCGACCCTCTGTCTCAATGCCCCCCTCCTCTTCGAGGCGCGATCCTCGATAAATCTTCGGATCGAGGCCCCGAGAGCCTCGAGCCATCGTTGATCCGAGATCACAAGATCTCGGACCCCTGGCTCGAGAATCTTGGACTCTCGATCCGAGGATCGATCGAGGACGGAGGGGGGAGGGGGGAGGGGAACTCTCGAGCGACGAAAGCAATTGCCCGAGGATATCGCAAGCGAAACGAGATATTCGCCGAGGATGTCTCAAGCGAAAAAAAGAGGATGTCTGAAGCAAAGCGAGGAATGTTCGAGGATGTCTCAAGCGAAACGCGAGATTTGTTTGGGGATGTCTCAAGCGAAACAAGGAGGGTGTCTCAAGCAAAGCGAGGAATTTTCGAGGATGTCTCAAGCGAAACGCGAGATTTGTTTGAGGATGTCTCAAGCGAAACAAGATATTGCTGGAGGACGTTGGAGGGGGGAGGGGAGAGAGAGAGAGAGAGAGAGAGAGAGAGAGAGAGAGAGAGAGAGAGAGAGAGAGAGAGAGAGAGAGAGAGAGGGGAGGGGAGGAGAAGAAGGAGGGAGGAGCGAGCGAGGAGGGAGGGGAGGAGGGAGGGAGAGAGTGAGAGGGGGGAGGGAGGGAGAGAGGATGGAAGCGGCGGCGGCGACGGCAGCGACGACGGGGGCAGCGACGACGGCGGCGTCGTCGTCGTCGCTGTCGTCGTCGTCGGCGTCGCGGTCGTCGTCGTCGTCGCCGTCGTCGTCGTCGCCGTCGCCGTCGTCGTCTCTGCCGGCGTCGCTGCCGTCGTCGCTGTCGCCGCCCCTTTTCCCCTTCCCCCCCCCCCCCCTCTCCTTCCATCCCGCGCAGCGACGAGCGTCGAGGCAAGCCTCGAACCTCGACGCTCTCGAGCTCCAGTGGGCCTCGAGCTGAGATCTCGAGACTGCAAGGGCCTCGGGCCTCGGCGGACCTTCGAGGGGCGCAAGGGGGCGCCAAGAGGATCTCCGAGAAGGATCCCAAAATAACCCCTGCAAGATTGCAAGGATGTTTCAGGCGAAACGAGCTTGTCTTCTGCTTGGCCTCTTGCTCTTCCTTCTCTTCCTTTCCTGCCTCATACTTCCTTCTCGGTGTCTCTCTTGTCCTCTGTTTCTCTCGCCTTTTC